ATAAATAACCTTGAAAAGTTAATATGTGGAAAGAAACTGTCTTTTTCCTGATAAATTGGTATGCGTCCTTTATTCCAAAGCTAGGGACTATCAAACAATTTCTTCATTTTTGCATTGGCTGCCCTAAAGCTTATTTAATTCGTTTCTCAATTGTAATACCTACCCATCTCTGTGCCTGTTTCTATTTTTTTCTTTCATTTTCAAGTTGTAAGTTTTTACATGTGTTTAATTATGTCATAGTGAAAGCCACCTTAAATATGTTTTGAAAGTAGGCAGAATTCCTACGTGAAGGCTGGGCCCTACAGCTATCCCACATTAAATTACAAAATTCCTAGAGTGGCTTTTATCAAACCAAAATGTGCAATGGAAATCACCTGATAAGCTCAGTAAAATGCAAATACTGACTCAGAAGATGTGGGGTGAAGCCAGCTCCCAGAGAAAGCGACTCATGTGGGTCTCAGTCCACCCTTTGAGTAGGCAGCATCCTGGCAACAATATACTGCCAATGCATGAATGAAAAGTCCAGTACAGGAGGAATAATGAGGATCATAAACAGTAAGTACCATAAAACAGAGCAAAAGAGATAGCCAGATCTCTGTTCCAATCTTTAAAAATCCAACTCTCAAACCCAATATCATTATTTAATTTTTAATAGCAAACTCCCAGTTAATGTTTTTCAAAGAAGTTGGTTCTGACTTATTTGTTAGGCAATTTACCATATACATCCAAATAAAGTTCTGGTTGATATGCTGTTTAAAATTCCTATTATTTTTAATATTTTGGGAGGAGACAAGAAAATAATGCTCATTAAAAAATCTGGAAAGGGAAAATTCCCATATACCCCAAGTACTAGGGTGAAGCTTCAAATTACAGCTGCCTTTTTCATTTATTTATTGCTGGTTTTATTTTGATTCTTCTTTTTTATTGTCTTTGGCAGCATCTATGAGAAGGATCACAGCAAGGAATAAGGGAACAAGTCTCCATCATTTGAAGAAAATTCATCAGTTGTGATATTTATTAAGGAAATACTGGAACATCAGTTTGTTTAAATTTTCGGTTTTTTTCCAGATTATTTCCAGTTAAGAGGATTCCTTCCCTTAGCCTTGGCCTGGCATCTTGCAAACAATAGTTTCTGAAATAATTCACAGTTAAGAAAATGCCTAGGGCTGGGGTTGTGGCTCAGCGGTAAATTGATTGCCTAGCATGTGCAAGGCCCAGAGTCTGATCCTCAGCACCACATAAAAATAAATACAGGTATTGTGTCCAACTACAACTAAAAAATAAATATTAAAAAATATATTTAAAAACAAAGAGAAAAAGCCTAACATTTTCCAATGTTGTTCAGTCTATAAATTCTCACACTGTGCACATTACATGCATGTCTTCTCCACAGAGTTTCATGGGTAAAAAAGGTAAAAACCTACGTTTTGGTTAAAGATAAAATTAGCCAGTTATTTAATATACAAGGACTAGTAGAGTATTTTGTTTCGCATAATTAAAAAAAAAAAAAGTTAGATTTTTTTTTCCAGGTCAGAAGCTTTAAAGCCAAATGTATGAGTTTTCTATTGCTCCTATAACAAGTTACTATTAGTTTAGTGGCTTAAACAACACAAGTAATTGTTTCACAATTCCTGAGGTCAGAAAGTCCAAAACTGGTTTTATTGGGTTAAAACTCAGGGCTGTGTTCCTTCCAGAAACTCCAGAGGAAAATCCATTTTCCTTATTCTCAGCTTCTAAATGCCTTTCACACTCCTTGGCTCATGACCCCTCTTCCATTCAACACCAGCAATGTTGATGATCTATTTGTGACTTTCCTCCTCAGTCATATCTTCTTTCAAATGACTCTTCTGTTTCCTCATTCCATTTCTAAGGACCCTCAAGATTCTGTGGTAGTGTCCATTCTGATTGTATTTTCATCACTCTTTGAGAATAAGAATCATTCCAAAAGAACCAAAGCCATAACATTGGGCCCAGCTAGATATTCCAGAATAATCCCCCTATTTTAAGGTCAGTTGATCAGCAATCGTCATTCCCTTTGCTATACAATATAACATATTCACAGGTTCTGGGCATGAGGATGTTGAAATCTTTGGGGACCCATAATTCTGCCTACCAAACCAAGACAGTGTTTCTTTTTCCATTTACAAACTTGAACTTTCCAAAAATGATTAGGTTCTTTTACAATCGTTCAATACTAGGAAAAGAAGCTCTTGGGCCATAATAGCATGCGATTACTGGTAATAACAACGTGCTTTCCAGTTTTTGACCATGAGCTCTGATGCTATTAGAATGACTTTCATACCCAAAGAGCAATGCGAATACAGCTAGAGGCCACTACCATGGAACCATCTGCACCTGGAGACATTAGTCCACATTTCCCGACTCCCATTAGAGTAAACTGATGCCATAGAACATGGAATTCAACTGTGACTCTGCAACCAGGTTGGCCAGAAAAAGAGCCTTCTTATTAAAATTCTGAGAAGCCAAACCCTCTTCCAAATTGCTCCAATAAGCTTAGAATCATTAAAATTGTCAAAGGCACTAGGAAATAAAGTTCATTCAGTGTCTTCTTAAGCACACAAAAAATGTAAAATTAAACAGGTACATTTTAGTAGCCTCATCTTTTCATGCCATCATGGCAGACTGACAAGATGGCTGTTTTAACAGCTGTATGATGCTTAAGCTCTAAGGACTTGAAATCTCTAATAAAAAGAGTAACACTTTGCATGTGAGCTTTTACAAATATATTCCAGACATACTTTCTCACAGGAACTCTTGACTAAGTATAATTATTGTATTTCAATCAGGAGCCACAAAGTGTAAAGATTTTGAAGGGTTGGCTAAAGGCCCTATACACACACAGGGCCAAATATAAATACAAAAGTACAAGTTTTATGTTTGAATCTATGGTCTACATACTGGAATAGAAAACAAAAGTATAGTTTTGAGATTACTGATGTTTAAAATAGGCAAGTCCAATCACCAAATGTTAAAATAGAAACTGCATGACGGCACATCAGACTGACTCTACTACCATTTCATATGACATGAAGGTTACAGGAGGTGTATTGTTTCTTGTGAGCCTTGTTTTCTAACACATTAGAAGCGATGCCATTGTGAGAAAGCAGTCCTCTCTCTTGGGGTAACCAACACACTCAATTTCCACCCCTCTCACCACTGATCCATTCACTTGTTCCCCGCAAAATAGCATCTAAGGCAAGGGCAGGGCTGCGCACTGTTTGAAGAATCTATGGCTCGCTCCTTAGCAACACTCAAATGGGCCCGTTCTAAGAAAAGATCTGACTTAGGAATGGGATAAGGAGTTTTGTTCACCTAGGCCCTTAAAAGAATTCTGAACATCTATGTGTGTATTTTTAAATACATCTAAACATCTTTAACTTAAGATTAAATACTTGAAGAAGGGACATGATTTCTGGTGCTCTGTATATGGTACTTGTGTCTTTTACACATATTTACCAGAACCTTAGGGATATAGAGATAACTCATTCAATCTATGCAAAATTTTTGCATAACATAATTGGTGAAGCCAATTCTTATTGATATGCTACTCAATCCAATGAGTATTTCTATCAAAACAACTCCAATTGGTTTTCGATCAGATATGAAGATAGTCCTGGTGACAGTCACATATTTTCTGAATGCTAAAAGAAACATTCAGAAAAAATAAGAGACACAGCCTTGGCATTTGCTCCTCACCTGGATGAATGGAGAGGAAGAAAGGCTATTGGAAAGAAATTCACATGCTCAGAGGAAGATTAGTTTCAAGATTAGTTTCAAGAAAGAGTTGAAAGTGGAAGATTTGAAAATGAAAACTTGGAGCACTCCATGTGTGCCTAGGATTGCTGGGGAAAAGAATTTAAATTGCTCACTGAAATATATTGCAAAATAAGGTGGTATTCTAAAGCCTCTAATGGCTTTTTTTTTTTTTTTTTGAGGCATACTGAACCTTTGGAAAGACCTTAAAGTAAGTATCAAGTTCTCTTTATCAAAATGAAGGTTCAATCAAAGTGATGATAGCTGTGGTGTGTGGCCAACCTTGTGTAAATCTTGAACAGACAGTTCCAGAATTCCAGCAGCTGGTTCTGCATTTTCTCTGAGTCCTTTAGAACTCTACTGCTTTTGTTTTAATCCTCTGCCCATGCTTGATAGTCTTTGTGTGTGTGTGCCTGTGTGTGTGTGTCCTGATCTTAGTTACCTTTGGCCCAGAAGTTCCAAAGTCCACCCTGTGTCCCTGTGGAAGCCCTTTTAGTGCCAGAAATAGACAACCTTTAAAATAATAATAACCTATACCTGTTAAGAGTATCATGTGGTGCCAACAGAGGACCTGCTTATGCAAACACTGCAAACTTATACCAGAGGAGACCAAGAGCAGTGCACAGCCACAGTAGGAATACACTTTGAAAATCTCTCTCCCTTGATGTTTCTGGGGCAAAGGTTGCAAGGAAACTATTGACAATGGGCAAAAAAAAAAAAACAGATGCAAACAAGTTAAGTTTATTAGGTGCTTCATCTGTCATAGAAGAGGGATTTGGGCGCTTTCACACGAAGCTTCAAGTAACTAGACAATACCCAGTTTCCTTCGATGCTGCAAATTTATCCAATGGAGATGGCGGTTGCTCTAGAAAGCACCTTGAGGGCAAATGCGACTGAGGCCACTCGTGATCAAGGTCGTCGGATGCTTTGGGTAGATGATGAATCTTCTCATGTCACCTCTTAGAAGCAGGTCTGTGTCCCTCTCCAATAGCCCACCGCCTGGCCGCGCCCCACCTCCATTCGTCCCCAGCTACCAGGTAACGGTGGGTGGTTTCGAAAGTGCCACAGCGGGGGCAGCCAGGCCTTCAGACGCTGGGAAGCGTCACTGGGAAGACGCGAGCACAGGGGAAGGCGCGCAGGTGCTGGCGCGCAGGTGCTGGCGCCCCCGAAACGCACACGGGGCACCCGGCGCAGGGCGGGCGGTTGGGGGGAGGGGACGGCCTTACCAGATCAATGAACGTCAGAAATTTCCAGCTCCCTCCGTAGGTTTGATGCGAGGGCATTTCGATGGCCTTGTAATTGCACAGGATAGAGCAATAGGACAGCAGGATCGCCACCCGCAGCACCTGGCAGGGGACAAGCGCCATGTTCGCGAGAGGCCTGGGCGGGACGGGCGGCGCGGAGGGCGCGCGGGCGGCGCCAGGCGCACGGGGGCTACCGCCGTGGGAACCCGGACCCGGACGCGGCGTGACGCGGGGCGGGGGCTGCGGCTGGGCGCGTGCCCCGCGGGACCGGCGCGGCCGCGAGCGCCCTGGCGACCTGCGCGGGCGGGGTGCTGTTTGTGGGCGCTCCCGGTGGCCGGCTGCGGCCAGGCAGGCGGCGTGGCGTCATCTCTTCCGTCACCTTCGTCATTCTGCTCCGGCTTTCGCGGGGCCCGGGAGACCCGGCCGGGGGCGCCCTCTAGGCGTCCCGGGAAGGGGTAGGCGGGCTCCGAGTGTCACCCAGGCTCGGGAAGTGCGCAGCGACTTGGGGAACCGCCGCTGATGGCATCTGCCGGGCGTGGAGGAAGCAGGGCCTGGCGAAGGGGCGAGGAACCTGGATTGAATCAGGGGACCCTCCTGTCAACCAGTTTTCCAGCCCCTGGGACGCGCTGCTCTGGGCCAGGCGAGGTGCCCAGTGCGGGTCCAGGGGAGGTGTCAGCTCTGTCAGGTCGCCCCTAAGTGACTCATAAATCGTGCTTTCAGGCGGGGACTACCCTGCACTGTTCTGCAAGAGGTTTACCATCCTGACAACAAACAACACAAGCTAGAATATGAACTTTGGACAAGAGATTTATAAATGTAAAGCTATAAAGAAAGTAGTGCCAGGTAACACTTTCTGCTAAAGACTCCATTCAATTCAAAAACCAAACCCATGGGCAGTAACTTAAGTCCTTGGGGCGTTAAACTCACTTTTACCCATTGACTTCCGCCGCCCCCCCACCCCCACCCCACCCGCAGTACGAAACCAGAGCTTAATGGGACGAAAATAAATATAAACTGGATTCCCTCTGCCTTCCAGTAAATGTTGTCACTCTAAAGTTGCCTCAGTCTGTGGGCAGCATTTTTTTTTTTTTTCCTTAAATCATGATCGTATTTCAACCAACCAGATGCAGGGTCAGACTGTGAAAGACCACATAGGTATTTCCTGTGGATCCATTTAAAACAGGTGTCCTCTCCAAATAGTCTCTGAGTCAGAGAGGATGTGGAGTAAGAAGTGGCTGGGTAAGCATAGCTTCAGAGGTAAAGAGAAAGTAGCAAATCAGAATGTTTTCCTGCGTTATTTTCAATCAACATCTAAACTAAAAAGAGACCCACTAGATTTTCTGAAATTGGCTTTGTAATTTTGCTCATAGAAATTGAAATCACAAGGTTGTATTAGCATAAGATTGTTCTTCATTGATGATTTATAGACTTACTGTCATGTAATAGTTGGGTTTATTTTTGTGTGTGTCCTTGTTACATATTCATAAGTTCCCAAAAAAGATTTTTTGGAGACTTACCTAGCTATCAAAGGCCTTGACAAAGTTTTGTGTGTTGATGTGATATTCTCAAAGTTGGATGTACCTTTCCTAGTTTAGATTTTAGAAAATCATCATAAGACTCCCTGTCCCCATCATTACAAAATAAAATGATATTTTCATAAAGCTCTTTAAATTTTTTTCCTATGGTCAGTTTCTTTTCAAATAAATAATACTTAAGTGTTCAAACATAATAGGTTTGGTTGTGTTGTGTGATTTGCTAACCATAATGAGATAGTTCTACATATTTTTCTTTTTTTAATATTTATTTTTTTAGGTGTAGATGGACACAACACAATGCCTTTTTATTTTCACATGGTGCTGAGGATGGAACCTCGGTTCCGCCCGTGCTAGCCGAGCAATCTACCGCTGAGCCACAATCCCAGCCCCAGAGATAGTTCTATATTTTAAAAAATGAAGCGTTTGCATAAAGCTTGACTCAAATGCTATTTTATGAGAATGTCAGTCTACAATTTTTAGAACTTCTTAATCACTATTTGTAAACATGTCCAGGGTTGCTCTCTTTGATTTTAATCCATATCTAATTATGTTATTCATGTTTTACAGGTATTCTTTGTGATATAATATTAATATACACCCAGATTATATTTTACAGTGTAAATAATACAATAGGCTATTGCTCTTAGAACTTCACTCAGTAGGTTATTCCTTTTTATAAACTGTAATACAGTACTCACTTTTACGTGTGTATGATGATTCCACATTTGATTTAAGAAATACTGTTTACATTCTGTAGAAGAAATATCTGCATGCCACTTTTTAATTTTTTTTCTTCTACTGCACCATTAATGAGATGGAAAAGAAAATCCTTGTCCAACTGAGTTTCATGGATACTAGTAAACATAAGAAACACCAAAGGAAGATTTCAAACCCTATTTTAACTTGTAGTTATTTTAATGTTCTTACTCTTAAGGCTATATAAGGGCTGAGAATACTCTAAGTATTTCTAAAAACTGATACAAATTCTCTGTGTGTGTGTGTGTGTGTGTGTGTGTGTGTTTGGAAGGGGAGAACTTTGGACATATTGGTGGTGATAATACCTGCTAATTTTGGAAATGACAAGAACCCCTGTGTCTCCCTTATGTTGTATTCCAAGAAGCCAACTTCATTTATGTATAGGTCTTTGCTTTAAAATTTTGGTGGAAGAACTGTGTTTATGTAAAGTTTATGATAATCAATGTCTATGCATTTACTTTAGTTCTGCATTTACATTAAATAAGCAATTTCTAACAATATCAATATATTTGGACCAATAATTTATCCCCCTTCACACTTTTCTGCCACCACAGGGGTGGAAGTCAGGACATGTCCTTTTCAGAGGCTTGGGCATTGGAAAAATCCTCTCAGTATTGCAACCTTTCAGTTGCTTATTTTTTCTTTATTATGAAAGTAGCTTGTTGATAATATGAAAATAGGAAAAAATTCAACATTAGCTCCACCCAGAGAAAACACTGAATATTTTAGCATTTTCCTGCCTGTTTTTTTTTTAATAATGCCTAGTTAGATGGGTGTAACCTACTATATAACCATTTGCATCATTTGAATTTATCTCTTAAGTTTAATGAGAAAATTTTCCCTCATGTAAAATTTGTGAAAATCATATTTAATGATTGCATACTGCAACATAATACGGACATAACATATTTTGCTTAAAGTTTTCCCTGTTCTTGGATATTTAGGTTGTTTCCAGTTTTTTACCACCAGAAGTACACTGTAATGTCTGTGTTTTGAATTGAGAAAGTCACTTTTCAAGTATTATTTGGAGCTCAAAACCAATTGAAACCACACTTTTATAACCTAACACGTATACTTGTTCACACCTGTTTCTATGAACTGAGGTGCCAAGGAGAGTGCTTTTGCCCTGAAGAGCAGTTGAGAAAGACTAAGCGAAGTAGGTAAAAAATCATTTTTCCTGAAATTGATGCTCATTATAGCTTTTAAATTTTGCCTTACATATAAAATGTAGTGCCAATACATTTGACTAGCCAGATATTTTTCCTATTAACCAGGAAGAGTTGTTTTTTGTAGGCCAAATTGAACAGCAGGGACTAGCAGTTTTGTTGATGTTGCTGACTATACCAGATTTGCTGATTTGAAAATGGATTGTTTATTATAGAGATCTTTGCTAAGGTATGAGATATCTAAATGCTAAGAATTCTATTGAGAATTGTTAAAAAGCTTTAGAAAAATTAGTGTGTAGATCAGTGCACAGATCTCATACATAAGTAAAGTATCCTACTGCTAACAGTGTGCTGGCCAATGCTCCTTGTCCTACTTAGAATGTTCTCTCTTCACATACAGTCAAACCCAGCCCATCCCATAAGACATAAGCCCATATCATCTGAGAATCCCCCTTTGGGGTTTATGATCTGGCCTTCCTGTTCAGAATGATCCACCTGCATGGTTCATTGGTGATTCAAATTCTACATGTATAACCTGTACTTATTATTTCCTTCTCAAAAATTGCCCTCTCTGCAGTTCCTAATTTCTGGAAATAGTACCTGCCTTCCATGTGAGAAACATCAAGACAGAGCCAGAGGGCCTGAGGTGCCAGCCTCTTCTGCTCAAATATGCTGGAGGCATGGCAAGATGAAGGTCATGTACTACCAGAATTTTCCCAGGGGAGGATACTGTGTGTTTTTAAATGTTTCTTTTCATAAGCTACTTGGGTAGATGGTGATGATGGACATAAGGACCTCCTAAAACATTCTAGAGTAACAACAAAGAGTTGCTAACTGTCCCCCACCCTCCACATGGGTGTCAGAGTAATTGCAGAGTTTTGTTTTGATGAGTGGAATATATAGGAATTGGGGACTAGGACTGAATTTTGCTCTGGATAGTAGAGGTGGGGCTACCATAACCAGGGTCCTTTTTCTTCACTACCTTTAGCCTCTATTCTAAATAAATACTGAACAAATATTTAAAGACTATTTCAAAAGATTTTAAAGAATTTTGAATGTTTTCACCATAAAGAAGAATTAAATATTTGAAGAGATAGATGTATTAACCTGATTACACAATGTCTACATGTATTGAAATATCATAATATCCTACTAATATGTACAATTTTTATGTATTGGTTTAAAAACTAAATTTAATTTGATAAATAAAAAATGTTTTAATGCTGGGCTGGGGTTGTGGCTTAGTGGTAGAACACTTGGCTAGCACGTTCATGGCCATCCTCAGCACCACATATAAATAAATAAAGAAATAATATAAAGGTATTGTGTCCAACTACAACTACAAAAAAAAATTAAAGATATTGTGCCCAACTACAACTAAAAATTAAATATTAAAAAAATGTTTTAATGTCATAAGCTCAAATCCTGTAGAGACCAGACATATACATAGTTAAGCTATATGTAAGGTAATAGGACATGACTAGGTCTATGAAAAATGATAACAAATACCATTTACTTTTATTCTAATAAAGGCATTGCAATTTAAATTTTTGAAAATGTTGTGTTTTAGTCCTCTTTCTGTTACTATAACAGAATGCCTGAGAGTAATTTATAAAAGAAAGACATTCAAGTGATGGTCTGGAGTCTTCAAATCCAAGATCAGGTGGTTGCATCTGTCAAGAGACTTGTGCTATCGTATAACATAATAGGAATGTAGAAGGGCAAGTGGATATAGGTGGAAGAGGAAAAACTCAAGGAACAGGCTTGCTTT